AGTTCTATTTAAAATCATACAGGTAATTNTATTAGGGGAAGATAATTCTATTTAAAGTCATAAAAGGTAAATTATTAAGGGAAGATAATTCTATTTTAAATCATAAAGGTAATTTGTTAAGGGGAGATAATTCTATATAAAATCATAAAGGTATTTTATTAAGGGAAGATAATTCTATATAAGATAATTAAGGTATTTTATTAAGGGAAGATAATTCTATTTAAAATGATTATGGTATTTTATAAAGGGAAGATAATTCTATTTTAAATCTTGAAGGTAAGTTATTAACGGAAGATAATTCTATTTAAAGTCATAAAGGGATTTTATTAAGGGAAGATAATTCTATATAAAATCATAAAGGTAATTTGTTAAGGGGAGATAATTCTATATAAAATCATAAAGGTATTTTATTAGGGGAATATAATTCTATATAAAATCATAAAGGTATTTTATTAAGGGAAGATAATTCTATATAAAATCATAAAGGGATTTTATTAAGGGAAGATAATTCTATATAAAATCATAAAGGTATTTTATTAAGGGAAGATAATTCTTTAAAGTCATAAAGGTATTATATTAAGGGAAGATAATTCTATTAAAAGTCATAAAGCTATTTTATTAAGGGAAGATAATTCTTTAAAGTCATAAAGGTATTTTATTAAGGGAAGATAATTCTATTGAAAGTCATGAAGGTATTTTATTAAGGGAAGATAATTCTATTTAAAATCATAAAGATATTTTATTAAGGAAAGATAATTCTATTGAAAGTCATAAAGGTATTTTATTAAGGAAAGATAATTCTATAAAAAATCATAATGGTATTTTATTAAGGAAAGATAATTCTATTGAAAGTCATAATGGTATTTTATTAAGGAAAGATTATTCTATTGAAATCATAAAGGTATTTTATTAAGAGAAGATAATTCTATTGAAAGTCATAAAGGTATTTTATTAAGGGAAGATAATTCTATTGAAAATCATAAAGGTATTTTATTAAGGAAAGATAATTCTATTGAAAATCATAATGGTATTTTATTAAGGGAAGATAATTCTATTGAAAGTCATGAAGGTATTTTATTAAGGGAAGATAATTCTATTGAAAATCATAATGGTATTTTATTAAGGAAAGATAATTCTATTGAAAATCATAATGGTATTTTATTAAGGGAAGATAATTCTATTTAAAGTCATGAAGGTATTTTATTAAGGGAAGATAATTCTATAAAAAATCTTAAAGGTAATTTATTAAGGGAGGATAATTCTATTTAAAATCATAAAGATATTTTATTAAGGAAAGATAATTCTATTGAAAGTCATAAAGGTATTTTATTAAGGGAAGATAATTCTATTGAAAGTCATGAAGGTATTTTATTAATGGAAGATAATTCTATAAAAAATCATAAAGGTAATTTATTAAGGGAGGATAATTCTATTTAAAATCATAAAGATATTTTATTAAGGAAAGATAACTCTATTTAAAATCATAATGGTATTTTATTAAGAGAAGATAATTCTATTGAAAGTCATGAAGGTATTTTATTAAGTGAAGATAATTCTATTTAAAATCATGAAGGTATTTTATTAAGGGAAGATAATTCTTTAAAAAATCTTAAAGATATTTTATTATGGAAAGATAATTCTATTGAAAGTCATAAAGGTATTTTATTAAGGGAAGATAATTCTATTGAAAGTCATGAAGGTATTTTATTAAGGGAAGATAATTCTATTGAAAATCATAATGGTATTTTATTAAGGAAAGATAATTCTATTGAAAATCATAATGGTATTTTATTAAGGGAAGATAATTCTATTTAAAGTCATGAAGGTATTTTATTAAGGGAAGGTAATTCTATAAAAAAAATCTTAAAGGTAATTTATTAAGGGAGGATAATTCTATTTAAAATCATAAAGATATTTTATTAAGGAAAGATAATTCTATTGAAAGTCATAAAGGTATTTTATTAAGGGAAGATAATTCTATTGAAAGTCATGAAGGTATTTTATTAAGGGAAGATAATTCTATTTAAAATCATAAAGATATTTTATTAAGGAAAGATAATTCTATTGAAAGTCATAAAGGTATTTTATTAAGGAAAGATAATTCTATAAAAAATCTTAAAGGTATTTTATTAAGGGAAGATAATTCTATTGAAAGTTATGAAGGTATTTCATTAAGGGAAGATTATTCTATAAAAAATCATAAAGGTAATTTATTAAGGGAGGATAATTCTATTTAAAATCATAAAGATATTTTATTAAGGAAAGATAACTCTATTTAAAATCATAATGGTATTTTATTAAGGGAAGATGATTCTATTGAAAATCATAAAGGTATCTTATTATGGAAAGATAATTCTATTTAAAATCATATGTATTTTATTAAAGGAAGATAACTCTATTGAAAATCATAAAGGTAATTTATTAATGGAAGATAATTCTATTGAAAATCATAAAGGTATTTTATTAAAGGAAGATAACTCTATTGAAGATAACTCTATTGAAAGTCATAATGGTATCTTATTAAGAGGAGATAATTCTATAATAACTATCAGAGATCAGATAAGTCAGTTAGTTTCAAACTGATCTCTGTCAATAATAACTACCAGAGACCAGATATACATAGTAGTGGCGAAGCAGGCCATGCTTACTATTTTCGAAACACCTGATGGTTCTTCTCATTGGTGGAGTCCACTACTATTATATTTTTACTCTTGATTTTGCCATTTTTAGGACGAGATTTTTATTAACTGAATTGCCTTGCTTGTACAGAGTTTTATTTATAGATTCAGTAAGTTTCTGACCTCTGTAAATAATAACTATCAGAGTTTGAAACTGATGAAGTTTTTGAATCTCTCCGCAATTACCTATGGATTACCCGAAAATTTCTAAGGATTTTTGTAATTGGTCCATATGCTGTTTAAAAGGAGTCAATATTAAAATTCAAAAACCAGGTACTGTACGAAGCGCAAAATCGATTTTGACGAGAACTGAATGTTGTTTTCCATTTCCACTGGGATGAAAAACAACCAGAAAATTGGACACCACCAGGACAACTTTGGATCCATATCGATGTCTTCAAATCTTCGTTCGTAACGGACTTCACGTTGTTGTGTGTGTGACGACTACAATGATTTGCAGAAACGAACCGTCACGACACCACTGTAATCTTGCTGTAGACTTGCTAATAATATACCGTAGATTGGTTCCATAACTCTTTGTACCCGTTGATTATACTAGGCGCCTGTGCCTTTGGACGGACTTGTCTAACTCTATTCCCTTTCCCAAGACACAACACTTCATCTTTATTTCATTCAATAACGTGGAGTCTATACTAAATTGAAGTATCTACCCGAGGCCTTCTTCTGATTCCGACGTAATTTTTGCAAACCCTTGGTCGTCCCATTAATGTAACATGAAACGTGAATGACTTCTTTGTGTAGTCCCCTTGTTGCATGTAAATCCCAAAACAACTATGCTAATTAGACAGGTGAATGATCCATATGTGCATACCCCTAGTTGTCCCTTAACTCCACCACAGATGTTACTTTTCAAGTACACGAAGATGACAAAAAGGGCATTGTCAGATCGAACAGTGGGGTTTCTTAAAATAATAGATAACACCTCCCACTGTCAATAATCAGAGACCAGATATAGGGTCATTTAGTTTCAGACTGACCTCTGTCAATAATAACTATCATAGATCAGATATATAGTCAGTAAGTTTCAGACTGACCTCTGTCTGTATCAGAAGCCAGAAATAAAGTTGCGGAATATCGAATTGGAAAGGTTCACTTGAAGTTACAGATGTCAATATTTGTTGATCGTTAAACTCTACTAGTAGAAATTGGTTTTTCTTGAGACCAAGAAATGGACGTATCTTTCTGTTTCTGACCATTCTCGCTCGTCACAACGATTGGTTGTGTATTTCTAATTGACACTGGTACAACTTGATTTCTCCTACAACATAATATAATCCGGAAATTCTTCCGAAACCGTTCATTCATGAAAGCGAAGACAATAGGGTTAAGACAGGCACCACTTAAGGCTAACCATTGTAAGTAATATCTGAGGGTGAGCGATTTATCTGATGCTAAAATGTTCCGTTGTTTGGCTATCACCTCGTATATAATCAGTGGAGCCCAACAACTCACAAATAATATCACAACCAATATCAGCATTTTAATGGCTTTCTTTTTATACCGTGTTTGAATATCCTCACTGCGTAAAACAGACGTTCCGATTGGCCGTTTAGACCATAATGTATAACATATAACACTGTAAGTCACCGTCATAAACACAAAGGGAATAATAAATAAGACCACAAGAGTTAGCCAGATCTGAAGCTGGTCGGTGCGGTAAGTGTTATAACCCTTACAGAAATGAGCAGTGGTGTACGTTCTATTGGAATTTCTTGCACAGCCGTTGGGATTTAAACACACTTCATAAAGCTGAAAACAGAATGCATACGGAATACTTGAACCAAGGGAAATAACCCACACTATAACGAGAAGTAATCCAGCCCGTTTTGGAGATTTCACCGCATTGGCTTCTAATGGATGGACTATGGCATTGTACCTGTCAAAAGCTATGCAGCATAGAGTAAGAGAACTCGAGGCGACGGTCAGATTGTCAATAAAGGGAACTATTTTACACGAAATGGCACCAAATATCCAATATTTTGTTAAAATGCCACCGAGATTTACAGGCATACATGTTACAGTGACAAAAAAATCACTGAAAGCCAGCGACACAATGAATATATTAACTACTGAACGCATGTGTCGGTTGAACAAAAACGTCAAGAACACTAGCGAATTACCAAATACAGATAAACTTATAACGATGACGTAGAGCACAAGTAGTACGTATTTAGTCACGGGGTCAATATCAGCTATGACGTCAACAGGAAGTGACGTTGGTTTCAGTTCTATTGTTTGTGATTTCATAAATGGTTTACAGAAATTCCAATCTGATTCATTATAACTCTCTTTCAAAATTCTTCGACAAACTTTCTCCAGAAGATTTTCAACACGGGATGGGTCTGTCTTCTCGATTAGATCTATCCAGGATTGTGTTGTTTGTTCAGTAGTCGCCATCTTGACTAGATCATGTACATCTATCTGTATGTGTCAGCCTAATTAAGATAAAAAATACATTTTTCAAAATTTGTTGTTGATAGGAATGTGTAAATCCAATATAACTGACATGAGGTTATAGACTCTAAATACTTTATGATAAATGACTGACAGTTTTCTTCAGCTTGAAATGAATAATAGAATAAAACAAAGTGGGTAGAATAATAGAAACAAAGTGGGTAGAATAATAGAAACAAAGTGGGTAGAATAATAGAAACAAAGTGGGTAGAATAATAGAAACAAAGTGGGTAGAATAATAGAAACAAAGTTTCAAATATCGACTATACCTGTTAACAACTCAGTAGATGGTGAAATATCCAATACCTGAAGACAAAAACATCTCAAAACATGAAATTTTGATTTTATATTCTAGGCATAATAACCATCATTTACAAACACAAGTGTTCTGTCAACACCGTTCTGTTCAATATTAACATTTACTTCCGGTTTATAGTACAATACTTCCAGATTAATTTTAATCTAGTTCCGGTTCAATGTGGATGGTCTTGATATGATACACACGAACCTATTTCTCTATTTCCGGTTTAAAGAAAACTGTGTTCTTTATTCCACTGTTACTATTATTACTGATATCCATACTATGATTGATTCTCCCTAGATAGACTTAGTCAGGATCTTTCGGATAAGAACAGTTTGTTTAGCTGTAATAATTTTCACTACGGACGTGACATTTGAGGGTGAGAGATAAACGGTTTCTTATCAAATGTTCTGTAGTGAAGGATATTTTCTCGAGATTTGGTTGTTTCATATGAACTTACTTGTTTTACTTTTCCTTCAGAACATCGGTACTATCTATATCAAATCCACTTATTAGAACATTGTGTATTTATTTAATTAATGTAATATTACAAATTATTGTGATATTTTGCGTGTAATAGGAACGAGGCCTACATTTCTGATAAGAATGACGTCACTGGTGATAAGACGAGGTACAAGTAGACCTTAGTTCTCATATCTTATATTGTTTCTAGATTTACAATAGATTACACCATACAACAAACATTAAGGGCGACTCGGGCGACTCAAGTGATCATCAATTAGTGTGCACTCTCACCACATCTATGTGATCTCGCCAAATAAGATGACAACCATTTCGCTCGGAACTCGCGAGGACGTCGCCAAAACATCTACCACACGTCGTTTAGATTGTGACGTCTCCGTGGTCACGTGGTCTGTTAAGCATTGTCGCAGCACCTCTGCAACGTCTCCTTGGTCTCCAACAGGACTCAGAGACAAATTGCGGTTTCGTCTCTTCTCTCACAGATAATATTAGTCTCCGCAGGGAAGACGCAACTGATGGAGACGTCGCGAAGACTGGGGACGCGAATCCCCAGAGACCCGGTTTGGCTCTAGGAGACTTCGCACAGACGTTACAGCGACCAGTGGAGACCTTGAGTCGCCAACTGTTCGCCAACTAGTGTCCAGATCAGTGAGATAGGCCCTATAAATAAAAACATCAAACGTAATTAGGTTACAACCCAAGGGATTATCAAGTGCATATTTTCACCTATCTATGGGTATATTCTAGAGATTGGTCCACAGTTGACCTAGCTGTCAATGTTGTGCTGTTGACGGTTCATAGACACAACAGAGATCTCCTTTCCCAGAGGGTGGCCCACTGTTGAACTATTGACCGTATATAGATACAGACATCATCGAACTCTTGGTTTAATCATAAAGAGTAGTCCCCTGCTATACTATTGTCTGTTTAAAAAAAACACCACCTGACTCTGAACTTACTGACTCTATATCTGATCTATGATAGTTATTATTGACAGAGGTCAGGAAGAAACTTACTGACTCTATATCTGATCTCTGATAGTTATTATTGACAGAGGTCAGTCTGAAACTTACTGACTCTATATCTGGTCTCTGATAGTTATTATTGACAGAGGTCATTCTGAAACTTACTGACTCTATATCTAGTCTCTGATAGTTATTATTGACAGAGGTCATTCTGAAACTTACTGACTCTATATCTAGTCTCTGATAGTTATTATTGGCAGAGGTCATTCTGAAACTTACTGACTCTATATCTGGCCTATGATAGTTATTATTGTCTCAGGTCAGACTGAAACTTACTGACTCTATATCTAGTCTCTGATAGTTACTATTAACAGAGGTCAGTCTGAAACTTACTGACTCTATATCTGGTCTCTGATAGTTGTTATTGACAGAGGTCATTCTGAAACTTACTGACTCTATATCTAGTCTCTGATAGTTATTATTGGCAGAGGTCATTCTGAAACTTACTGACTCTATATCTGGTCTATGATAGTTATTATTGTCTCAGGTCAGACTGAAACTTACTGACTCTATATCTAGTCTCTGATAGTTACTATTAACAGAGGTCAGTCTGAAACTTACTGACTCTATATCTAGTCTCTGATAGTTATTATTGACAGAGGTCATTCTGAAACTTACTGACTCTATATCTGGTCTCTGATAGTTATTATTGGCAGAGGTCAGTCTGAAACTTACTGACTCTATATCTGGTCTATGATAGTTATTATTGTCTCAGGTCAGACTGAAACTTACTGACTCTATATCTAGTCTCTGATAGTTACTATTAACAGAGGTCAGTCTGAAACTTACTGACTCTATATCTGGTCTCTGATAGTTATTATTGGCAGAGGTCAGTCTGAAACTTACTGACTCTATATCTAGTCTCTGATCGTTACTATTAACAGAGGTCATTCTGAAACTTACTGACTCTATATCTGGTCTCTGATAGTTATTATTGACAGAGGTCAGTCTGAAATTTACTGACTCTATATCTAGTCTCTGATAGTTACTATTAACAGAGGTCAGTCTGAAACTTACTGACTCTATATCTGGTCTCTGATAGTTATTATTGACAGAGGTCAGTCTGAAACTTACTGACTCTATATCTGGTCTCTGATAGTTATTACTGTCTCAGGTCAGACTGATACTTACTGACTCTATACCTGGTCTCTGATATTTATTATTGACAGATGTCAGTCTGAAACTTACTAACTCTATATCTAGTCTATGATAGTTATTATTGTCTCAGGTCAGACTGAAACTTACTGACTCTATATCTAGTCTCTGATAGTTATTATTGGCAGAGGTCAGTCTGAAACTTACTGACTCTATATCTAGTCTCTGATAGTTATTATTGGCAGAGGTCAGTCTGATACTTACTGACTCTATATTTGGTTTCTGATAGTTATTATTGACAGAGGTCATTCTGAAACTTACTGACTCTATATCTGGTCTATGATAGTTATTATTGTCTCAGGTCAGACTGAAACTTACTGACTCTATATCTAGTCTCTGATAGTTACTATTAACAGAGGTCAGTCTGAAACTTACTGACTCTATATCTAGTCTCTGATAGTTATTATTGACAGAGGTCATTCTGAAACTTACTGACTCTATATCTGGTCTCTGATAGTTATTATTGGCAGAGGTCATTCTGAAACTTACTGACTCTATATCTGGTCTATGATAGTTATTATTGTCTCAGGTCAGACTGAAACTTACTGACTCTATATCTAGTCTCTGATAGTTACTATTAACAGAGGTCAGTCTGAAACTTACTGACTCTATATCTAGTCTCTGATAGTTATTATTGACAGAGGTCATTCTGAAACTTACTGACTCTATATCTGGTCTCTGATAGTTATTATTGGCAGAGGTCAGTCTGAAACTTACTGACTCTATATCTGGTCTATGATAGTTATTATTGTCTCAGGTCAGACTGAAACTTACTGACTCTATATCTAGTCTCTGATAGTTACTATTAACAGAGGTCAGTCTGAAACTTACTGACTCTATATCTGGTCTCTGATAGTTATTATTGGCAGAGGTCAGTCTGAAACTTACTGACTCTATATCTAGTCTCTGATCGTTACTATTAACAGAGGTCATTCTGAAACTTACTGACTCTATATCTGGTCTCTGATAGTTATTATTGACAGAGGTCAGTCTGAAATTTACTGACTCTATATCTAGTCTCTGATAGTTACTATTAACAGAGGTCAGTCTGAAACTTACTGACTCTATATCTGGTCTCTGATAGTTATTATTGACAGAGGTCAGTCTGAAACTTACTGACTCTATATCTGGTCTCTGATAGTTATTACTGTCTCAGGTCAGACTGATACTTACTGACTCTATACCTGGTCTCTGATATTTATTATTGACAGATGTCAGTCTGAAACTTACTAACTCTATATCTAGTCTATGATAGTTATTATTGTCTCAGGTCAGACTGAAACTTACTGACTCTATATCTAGTCTCTGATAGTTATTATTGGCAGAGGTCAGTCTGAAACTTACTGACTCTATATCTAGTCTCTGATAGTTATTATTGGAGAGGTCAGTCTGATACTTACTGACTCTATATTTGGTTTCTGATAGTTATTATTGACAGAGGTCATTCTGAAACTTACTGACTCTATATCTGGTCTATGATAGTTATTATTGTCTCAGGTCAGACTGAAACTTACTGACTCTATATCTAGTCTCTGATAGTTACTATTAACAGAGGTCAGTCTGAAACTTACTGACTCTATATCTAGTCTCTGATAGTTATTATTGACAGAGGTCATTCTGAAACTTACTGACTCTATATCTGGTCTCTGATA